CCTCCATTGAATGTCTATGATATGTTGTTATCAACATAGATGCATTTTGAGAATGTCTAAAAATATACTTTCAACCATTAGATTGGATCTACTTTCATCACATCATCCTTAACATTGAGCTTCAACCTCTCAAGCTTCTCTTAACTTAATCTAGAAGTCAATAATGGTTGTAGATTTAGCATACATCTAGAACTATCTATGCAATTCTTTGTCCTTGCACTTCCTCCTCCAGTTTGAAAAGGTATGCCTTGCATACTTCTTATGCTCTACTTGATGCATTAGCTTTGCAACTACCTACACCAGTCCCTAAAAAATCCATAGCAATAATACCTCTTAGAATTTCAACATTATTCTAACTTGTACATAAATATAAGACAAATATGTCAACAACATACCTTTTGTTGATAAAAAATGATGGTGTGCAACCAGCACTAGTTTTCCCTGTCATGCCAATATCATCATGAGGTAACTAAGGAATCATTTCTAACATTCAATGCTTTCACTTTCCACAATTTCCCATGCTATTGGCATCATTTGACTATTTGCATTTCTGTCAATAGATGAAATAAGCTCACCATGACATGGTTCATTCAGGAAACAACCATCCAACCCAGTAACTAATCTACAACTAGCCAAAAATCCCTTCTTACATGCATTAAAACATACATAGAACCTTCTAAAAATAGGTTTCTCCCTTCACTCTTGAATTTTTAAAGCTCTACTGACATTTGTTCTCAAGAACATATGTCTTGATCTGAAAATTCTTTGTGATGTTGTCCAATACAACATAAAACATCCATGAATAACCTTCATCTTTGCACATAGCCTTAATTCTTTGGGACTGAAACTTTTTGAATCTAATGTCCCTATGGCACTTTATGACATGCTTTATAACTAGCCCTTTGCACTACTTGCTATTTAGGAAAACGATTCCCAACTTAAATCAGGGAACCTTAGTGGTGGGCTCATACCCAGAACCACTCTTCTGTCTCCTCATAAAATTTTCTACTTCAGCTTCATTGTCTAACCCACCACTAACTGTGTAGCTTCCATCATCATTAGACACATATTCATGAAATCTCGGTTGTTAGTTTCCTCCTTCCTCACCATTAGAAAATCCAGGTTTGTTGGTTTCTTTCTTCCTTAGCCTTAATCAATTTATTGCTTGACCCCCTTTATCTCTCTTGAGCAATTTCAATACTTACCTTATCTGCACTAGCATCAACCCCTTTCTTCTTATGGAACTCCTTCACTCTTTGTCTTACTGCTTGAATCTCTTCATCTTCATTGTTTGTTAATCATTTAATATATAAACCTACACCATCATCTTCATATGCATATTCTTCATCAGTTGACTCCCCATTACTTTAGCCAGCTCACCAACATGCCCTTCCTCCTTAGTCTCTCCAATGGGCTTTTCCCCTTCAATCCCTCCAGTAAGTTCTTCCTCCTTAGGCCCTCTAATAGGCTTTTCCCTTTTAGCCCCTCACAGGGTCTATCTCTCTTGTCTCTCCAACATTAGGAACCCTAGCCTGACCAACTTCCCCCTTTTTAATGGTTTTGGCTTGTGTGATACACTAAATACATCCTCCAAATTGCCCTACAAAATATGAAAACTTACATCATTAGCCGATTGAGTGTAACCAACATTAGTTTGATTGTCATCAAACCCAAGAAATTCAAGCTCTTGTACTTGTTCATTTGCTGATGCCCCCCCCCCCAACTTCTTTGGCAAATGGCAATGCACCTTACTACATTATGTGTGTTGGGTCTAACACATTGTGCTTCACATACATGTTAAGAGTCCTAACCTTGGATACATACCTCAATAACCTAAATGTGGTTAAATCATCAAGCACTTCACTCAAATCATCACTTAACCCTAAACTACGTACTTTATAGTATATTTTACTGACATCATCCTTTAAATATCCACGGTCTTCTATCATAATTAACAATGTCCCGTATAGTATGAGATTTGATCCACATATATCTTTTCTATAAGAGTGGCCTTACTCCCAACATACAACAATCCATTGTTACTATTCTTAAATTTTCCACCAATAAACAATCGCAATTTCACAAACACATCCACACCCATTTCGACTTGTATTTCATAAAAAGAAAAGAAAAATAAAATAATCAGTAAAAATGCTTTTACTGCCTTACATAACAAGAGTAATGCATCGAATACTAGTAATATGAGCAATTGAAAATTAGATAAATAAGACAAAACTTAAAAAAAAAAAAAAAAGAAATCTTCATGTATTGAACAGAGTTAAAGTGTCGATTACAGTACTTGTGTAAACCGGTGACTCCTTGATGGAACTGACTAGTATGTTTTTCTCCTTTTTTCTCAATGGAAGTAACTAGTGTGTTATTCTTTATCTTCGTGAAAGCAAAGACCCAAAGATCACTACGAAAGGCCATCAGAGATGAGGAAGAGTCGTCGTTGTTTTCTCTCTGCCTTGAGCTTGGATGGAGGTTACCACTATTTTTTCTCCGTAGTGGTGAGAAAAGAGCTCGAAGAGATGAAGAAGACAACTAGAGTGAGCTCGAATAATGGTTGGAGATGAAGACGACCGAAGTGAGATTGAATGGTAGTCAGAAGTGAAGAAGACAACATGAATCCTGATCACGTTTGTAGAGAGTTTTTCACCAAAGGCTGGGGTCAAAAATGGTTTGGTTGGGGTTTTTCTCAATTAGGTGATGACGTAGACATGTTTCTAACGAGCAAAATTAATGCATGAGACTAGGGATGGAAATTTTTCCCATCCCTGATGGGGACCGACTTCCCCAATCCGATGGAATCAATGATGGGGATTGTTTGTGGGGCGGGAATGGGGACAATGATTAATAGGAATCCCCGATCGGGGTCAGGGTCAGAGATGGGGATTGAGGTCCCCACCTCACCCCGACCCTAATTATATATGTATGTATGTATGTATGTATATATTATATATATATATATATATCAAAACATATATAAAAAATTATTTATAACTTAAAATTTTTATTTATTTTAAGTAAATTTATTTTTAAATAAATACTGTTATCTAAAAAAAATTCAGGGATTCAGGTCCCAATAGGGAACCCATCCCCGTTAGGGATCGGGAATGGAGGACAAATTTTATCTCTGGCATGGATTGGGGACAGGATGGGTTAATTTCATAAACGGGGTTGGGGATGGGAAATATGATCCCTACCCTGAATCCACCCCGTTGCCATTCCTATGTTAGACCCACTCGTAAATGCATAGGCTAACTAGGCATTTCCATTTTATATTTTATTTAGTATCAAATATAACCATAACATTGTTTCAAACACCATTTGTTTTTTTACCATAAGTGGCCTTTTTATCAAATTCTGGGATTGGAAATAGCCTTTTGGAATCTTTAATTGAAATTGGTCTCCTTGTCAAAGCAAAAAATGCAGAAAAATAATGATAAAAAAAAAGAAAGAATAGGTAAATGACCCTAGAAGAAACATAAATAGGTTTGGTTGGGATAAAAGCATTTCCCTACAAAACTCTAATACTGATTAGACCTAAAAAGGAGATAGAAGGAATAAATTGATTTGGTTGAACATAGGTAGATTCAACAGAAGTTGAAGTTAAGAAAATAGATTGAACATGCAAGGATGTAAGGAATAAACTAATTTGACTAAGAGGGGGAAAAGGGCAGTCCACCCAAAAGGAATCACGGGTTTCGTACCCACACTTGAATAGATGCACATGTGGTGGGAATGGGACTGAGAAGGCTCTTCGTACCCACTTCACTCTGGTCCATAACTTGTCACTTGTCACATTGCCAAAATGATCATGACTAAGGGCAGAGCTAAGGACAATTTTGGTATGGCATAGCCAACTTGCGAGAATCCAACTGTATTTAGGATGCCCAACTTGTAATATTTAAGACTAATTTCAATAGAAAATATGTATATAATGTCAAAATACCTGGGCTCCAGTGGGCCCTGCCTCTGACTGTGAACTGACCGAATATCTGCTTCAATAAAAGAACCCAACTTGGTTTTCCTCTCGCAACAAGGCAAGAGTTAAAAAAAGAGCCTCAGAGGGCCCCAGCCTCTGTTGCATGAAGATCATTGGATCAAAACCCTTCATCTGGGATGATAGAATAGTGGAAGGACCCACATTTCCATTTTTCTTTGCAACTGGCAGTTGACCGTCTCCAATCCACCCACGACCCACCCACCCAGAATTAATAAAATATTCCAATCAATCGGTATTTGCACAAAAGTCTACAGTCTCATCTCAGAGCCTTCTATATTCAAATCTTTCATAGTTGAAACAAGTTCCTTGACGGATTTGAATTTTCTTCCCTTGACTTTTGACCTAAGCAATAAATGCTACTCTTTCAACAGGAATGAGCCCCACCTGCTTTCCATCTTTCTAGATCTAGACAATTCTTCGGTTAGGGAGCGCGTTTGGTAACGTTTCAATAAAGAACGTCGCCCTCGCTCTTCTTCCTCGAAAATAAAAGCAATATTTTACATTTTGCCCCCGAAAGCACCAGAAGCTTTCGGCCATCAGCGGCTTCTGGTTTTTCGACGTGGGCTGTCCGCTAAAGCCTATTTGAAATTTGAATAGCTTATCGGAAACCTTAGCTGAATCAAAGCAGTAGCTGAGCCAGCTTAGCCCCCTCCCAAACGGACCCTTTATCAATTTACTTCCACCCGTCCAGTTATTAAATCAAAGTCGTACACTTGGATGGAGTAAATACAAAAACCCTACGTGGTTTCACGTGGAAGAAACACGTGCCAGCGAGATTTGACCCAACAGCTCAGAACACTAAAAAAGCGCAAACAAATCACTCCATCGTCAACGAATACAAAGACTGAAAGCGGGTCCCACTTATGTTAGCATCTTTGACCGATTCTCAATAATTAATAAGGCAGTGCGGTCCCCACTTTGAATGTACAATTCCCCTGTAGCGATAACCTGTAATCGGGACTGGATTGTAATTATATTAAATAGGCACGAATAACAAAAAGCGACAGAAACTTTATAACAAATTACTTTTCTATTCCTGAATCGATTGAAAATTTACACCGAAACCCCTCCCCAACATCTCCAGAAAGGACCCAACGATAAATTATGGAAATAAATTCTTCTGATTAAGAAAAAGCCTAAAAAGTCTACGTTTTTACAGTGTAACTTTTGACTTTGCTTCTTGTTTCTCACGACGACTCGATCAAGCCTCCGGCGACCGAATCCGGCGGAGGAGGCTGTGAGTGGCGGTGCTCACCCTCGTATGTCACGATCAACATCGTCGGATCATCTGGGGCCCGCTCAACGTGCTTTCTCGCCGGGCATCCCCTCAAGCTGCTGCACTTGTAATACCCTCTGAAATGAAATCAAAATAGAGAAAGCGTTAGATTTGATAAGATCTTTGCCTCGAGATTCCAAATCGAAGGCCGACGGCAAGTGGATTTAAAATATTACCGTGGGTAGGGGGAACCCTTGATCGGTTTCTGGCCGTATTTTCGCCAGGAGTATTCGTCCGGTGGGATATCGGCCATCTTTGAACTTATTGCCGGGACTCTGATCGTTTTCTTCACACGAGATTTCCTGAAAAGCAAATAAAAAATTATAAATAACTAATTTCAATTAAAAAACAAAAATTGGATTTTGCTATCATGCGCATGGCGCATGTTATCCAAAAACTACACTGACAACGGCAAATCCAGCACAGCACAAGAGAAGACAAAGCATCCCTGCCTCAAAGCTCTGATTGCTATCATGCGCCACTAGTTATTAGCACAAGCTAGCAAAGAAAGCGAAAGGAGAAAGCAATATCTATCCTCTAACGCGTGAACAGATTTGGCGCATGGTATACATAATAAGCGGGTTCTGCTAAAGTGCGCAGTGGATAGAGAAGGAAAGAATCGAGTACCTTCTTTTGGAGCAGTGACAGCGGCCGGACTCGGAGTACTTGCCGGAGATGTCATCGGAATGACCGTGCCCATGGCATTTCTTACGGTAGGATGAAGAGAGAGGCGGTTTTCCGGCGGACACAGCCGGGGTTGGAGTTGCAAAGAGTGATGATCCCTGTTTCCCGTTCGAAACGCTGCCGTCCCCGGTGGTGATGGAAGACATGAAAGACGAGTTAGCAGAGGACATCGGAGGTGATATGCTGAAACTCTCCTTAGAGAACTGGCAAGTCGAGGCATCGGTGGGATTAGAGCTGGGGTGGTTTAGCAGATTAGGCTTTGTGAAATCGAGCGTCAGGGCTTGCGGTTGAGATTGAACATGCGGTGCCGGAGCTGATGTCGGTGGTAAGTTCAGGGTGGTCTGAGGCTGAGGAACCGAGAAGGACGTAGAAGCGGAGGAAGGAGGGCCGCGACGGAACCGAGCGTGGCCGGTCCGGTTCAAGAGCGAAATCACCTTCTTGAACTTGGCGACTGTGAAATCCGTGATTTCTCTGCAATCCAACTGGTTCAATTTCTGGTGTTGAGGGCTCTGATGAGACATTAAACGGATCAGGTGCTCCATGCTTTTCAATCCGGCAGAAGCGGCTTCTTGAATCGCGATCTGTTCGTCCATCTTGGAGAACGAGAGAAGGTCAACCGCCATTTAAGACGATGACGAAAAGGAAGACTCGAACAAGAAAAGAGAGAATAGAAGTGGAATCAGCTGAACTCAGGCCGCCATTAAAAGCTTCAGAAGAGGGGATTTCTGTTTGGAAGAGATTAGGGAGAAGGGAAGGAAGGTAGTTGATTATATAGTGGGCGGTAAAGGGATCGGGGCAACCGGTTGAGGAAAATTCGAGTCAAACCAGTTTTTTAATCTGACGGCTACGATGGGTTTTGCTTTCTAATGAGAAAAAAAAAAAAAAAAACAAATCCGCGGCTTCTTTGACGGTGGGACCCAGCTGTAGAAAAAAATAAAGCTACCGCTCTTATTTTCAATTTCTCGGCATGATAATGATTCGAGTTATTGATGGTATTTCAGCTCAGAGCAACCCGCGTAATATCATCATTTTCCAGACAGGATCGACAAACTCGAACCGAACCGTTAAACCGGTGGTCCATTCAATAGGAACCCATGGCTATGTTTACTTCCTATATGTTTAGAGAAACCAATAGTTGGCTGATTATTTAATTGGTTTTTCTCAATTATTTTAGCATTAATATTTTCGAGAAATTTGTCATCTCTATAATATTTTAAATCTCATTGTGTCATAGGTGGGGGTTTGGGAAAATAAAACCAAAAAACCAATCAAAATTTATGAGGTGAGGCAAACCATAAATTTCTCTAAATTTTTCTAGCTATAGATGTTACAAAAAAAAATAAAGCAATTATTTTCTTTTATCATATTTATGGTGAGCCATCATCATCATCTAAGCTTCGTCCCAGGCTTCCAACTATATGGGGTTAGCAACATGAATCTTGTTTCGCTAGTCTATTTTGTTCAATGTCATATTCATGGTTAAATTATGGGCATTTAAATAATTTTTTATCTCTTATATTTCTTATATTTTTATTAAAAAATCATTTCTTATATAGATAAACAAAAAAATGAAATTATTAGCTATTAATATTTTCTGCTAGATTGTTAATATACTTTTACTTTTGAGATTCTAGACAGATAAATGGGGTGTTTGACAAGTCTTTTGTGGAGTCTTTGGGACTTTACAAATCTTAGAAGACCAAAATTTGGTCTTCCCCATTTGGCAGTAAAAGATGGAAAGCCAAAAAGACCTGTTCTTCAAAAAAAAGCTCACAGAAGTTCAAAACATCCAAAAGTCGAAATGCTTCAAATAAAGCTTTTGGTCTTTCCCACCTAAAATGCCCTACTCCATTTTACTTACCAAACGGACTTAGTCTTTAAAAATAAGCTTCAAAGAGTTTGGTATGTCTTTTGGTCTATTGGGCTGCTCAAAAGATCTACTCAAAAATTCTTGCTAGATAGCCACAAAGTCTCCCCATTAGATTAAGGTTTTAAAAGTTACTACTCATTTAGTTCAATAGGAAAGTAGGCATTTGGTTTTAAAATTTCTCTTCAAAAACTAGTAGAGATCAAACTTTGAATTTCTTTTGAAAAGTTGCATAAAAGTAGGTCCAAGTGAGCAAGTAGAGATTTGATATTTAATGAATACCAATATCTCTATGACTCCTTTCTTTACAACACCACATGCAAATTGCAAAGCACCAAATGAAACATTTATTAGACCCTCTTGGACATTTGTCTAGTTCTTTTTAATAGATTGAGGATGAATATACTAAGCGGGTGTTTGCTAAACTAGGGCAATGGGGCACATAGGTTGTGTTCTAAGATTTCAATTAGACAAAGGGTCTGTTTGGCATGTCTTTTTGGGAAGATCTTCTGGTAGTTCTAACATGCAAAAGACGCATTGATCTTTTGTATGAAGACCTGAGCAGTCTGAAGCACGTTTGGCAGGTGTGCATCTTTTCGCATGTCTTTCCACACGAGATTAAAATGCAAAAGACGTGAGAAGCTTCATTTAGAGCTTTCCGAAATCAGCCCAAAATGAGCTTCTAGCGTCTTTTTGGTGTTCCGTCTTTTGGCACTTAGATATTCTGTGCGCCAAACAGAAACAGACTAAAAATTAGTCTTCGCTACTTATAAACAGCCAAATGACTGCATGGAAAGACATGCCAAATGGGCCCAAAGTCTCCTCATAATGATCAAGGTTTTCAAAGTTTCCACTCATTTAAGCTGTATTTGGTTTGAAGGAAAAAGTAGGAAAAGGAAGGGAAACCTTTACAAAACTTGTATAGGTTTCCCTACCTTTCCTTTCCTTTCCCTACCTTTTCCTTCAAACCAAACATAGAATCTATTAAAACCCATTGTGGTGTGGTTGAAATCACATGCTTTGAACAAGACCACACTTTTATGAGGATATGTATTCTTACAATACATCAAATAATCATTCATTTAACATGGCATGAACTAACCCATGATATTTTCTCCGTGGATGAAAATTTGGGAGATTTTGCATTTTAATCCAAAGCACATATTCAAACTAACAATATTTGGGTGTAGCATGAATTGAAATCAATCTCCCACAAAACTGAACATCGCCTTAATTCAATGGAGAATTAGGTTCTTGGTTTTGAAAACCATCTTTGAAATTTGATAGAGATTAAATTTTGAATTTCTTTTAAAATTTCGCATAAAAGTAGGTTTAAGTGAACAACCAAAGATTTGAGGTTTCATTTGGTTTGCAGGAGTAGAGGTCTAGAATTGGAACCGAAATGGGCCATTCAGAATCCTATTTTTTGGTTAGGCAGAACCGAAATCCCATTTCCATTCCTAGTGGAATGGCATTCCCCCATTTGAGGGAAGTGGCTATTCCATCCCCCATTCCTGGTGGAATGGCATTCCCCCATTTCGATTCCCATTCCAATTCCTGTATGAACCAAACAAACTATGGGAATAGACCATTCCGATTTCCATTCCGAGGTATTTTGATTCCAATTCCAATTCCACCTGTGAACCAAACAGACCTTGATATTTAATGACTACATACCGATGTCTCTACCACTCACCTTTTTATTTCAATACCACAATGCAAGCTGCAAAGCACCAATAAAAGCCCTTATTAGAACCTCTTGGACATCTGTCTAGTTCATGCCAATAAAGACATTGAAATACGCCAATAAAGCCCTTATGGGTGCTTAAACCTTTTAATTTCTTTCTACTTAACCCATGTTTTTTTGTCCACCCCTAACCTTTCTAGTCTCTTTTAACTTGTGATTGATTATTTTTTGTTATAGGTGTTGTAAATAGTCCTCTGTGTATGTGACAAAACCGTCTAAGCTTACTTTCTCTCATTTTGTCATTTATTGGAGTTATTACTCTAATCCTATTCTTTCTAATTTTTTTATTCATCCATCGTACATTTCCACCACTCATTTTTTTTAAAATATTATTTCTTAATTACCCAACACTTTATTCCATATGAAACTGCTGGTCTTAAACCTATTTTATAAAATTTTTCTTTTAATCTAATTAGTATTTTCCTATGACATTAGACTCCGGGTGCACCTAATTTGATTGATGATGAAAATGTAAAGAGAGAACTAATTCAACTCCTCCCCTTTTACAAAAAAAAAAAAAAAAAAAAAAATTCAGACCATACAGAAAATCCGGTTTACCCGGACCATCAGAGGTTCAACCTTTGAACCGCATAGGTTTAGGCGAGAAATGCTTTGATTAAAAAGTGTCGAAAGAGAACGAGATCTCGCTTCACGAGTCACGACCAAAAGAAACATTATTAATTGACAATGGAAAAGCATCTCCCTAATATCGGAGAAGTGCAGTGCAGAGCAAGGCTGACTCTCGGTGGGGACCATTTGAAATATTTGTCTTCTTGTAATGAAACTGTTGACCGACTTTACCAATTCGACGGCAAAACCGGCTGCAGCCCGTTGAAATACTTACAAGCGTCGGATGCATTTGATACGATCGAACGGTTAGAAGGGGTTCGGAATGGTTGACTAAATGGCAAATTAATTAAGTCTCGAGGACCTCGACTCTACCAGTCCAACTAGCAATGCAACACGTGGCGTGGAAAACCAAGGGGATTAGTTGTTGCCAATTAAGAAGCGGGAATCGAGGGAAGCGAGGATTTCGTAAGCTGCAAAGTCAATACATGAATTATATCTCGTCGGTTGACCCGACCAGGTGACTGACTCGGTTTCTCGGAACGAGTCGTAGCTCTTAAGTTACGTGAAATATTATTTTCGGTGCACAGTTTTTATAGAATTACAAAATACCCCTTCCAATTTCCACTTCTTTTTTTATTTTTCAGCGTAAAGGAATTCGCGGCTGTTTGGCAAGTCTTTCTAGTAATATATTTCAACGGCTCAAAAGACTCACTGAATTTTTAGGATCTTGTCTTTAAAGATCAAGACTGATTCATTTGCATCATTGTCTATTGGGCTGTTAAAGATAATTAGAAAGGCTATTTTTAGCATGGAAATATCAAAAGCTTAGTTTGAAGTTTCCTGATTTTTGGCATTATCTATCTTTTCTATGCATTTTTCATTAGGAGTGTTAATGGTATTCGGAAATCCGATTTCAAATTCAAGATTCAACATAACCGAATCGAATTCAGATATGACCTGATTCGATTTGATAGATATCAGAATTCGACCAATTATTTAATTTTTATATATAATATATAAAATATTTAAATATTTTATATAATTTATATATATAATAATTAAATTATATAAACAATTTATATATTTATATACTTCATATAAATAAAATATTTATTAATTACCTAAAATAATTAATTAATTGAATTAGAATCGAATCAAACATTCGAATATTAATTTTTAATATCCGTTATATTGAATTGAATTCAAATATCAAATTTTCTAATCCGATTTAAATTCAGATATTACCTGATTTAATTCGAATTTGATTAATTTACACCCATACTATCCATAGGCCCAAAGACATACCAAAAAGATGTGCCAAACACCCCCCAATGACCGAAATAAGCCTTGCAAGAAACCAAATTTCTAAAGCTAGAAGAGAAAAGAAAATGTTTCGGCTATGAGCTTTTGGATAATGCTTGCAAGCAACGCCAGGGCATGGGTTTACGCTCTATAGACAAGTGGGACCCATGAAAATATAAATCAGAACAAACATGAACCTGACCGTGTTTTAGGCGTGGAAGTCTTGGCGATGCACTAAGCGTTTGCTTGGTGTGAATTGTGATTTCTTTT